AACACTCAACACACCACCGGTCACCAACACCCGATACACAAGTGCCGGTCGGATCGACGGTCAGAGCGCTCCATCATCGCACACTCGCCATCGAGTCACAGTTTCCGACCACATGTGTACTGCGTGTATTGGGACAGACCAGCGGTTAGCCGCTTCAACAATCAACCTAGTGCTACCCGATTAACTCTCTATCACCCATGTGCAGTCTTGTCGATGGAAGTGGAGTGACACGCTATACAGTTGAAGCACTCACTGTCTCCGACTCCAATTCCGACTGCGACTGTGACCAGTGTCAAACACACACCCACACAATCACATTCACATCATTTGACGCGTGACTGTGCTACTGCTTACGCCGACTTGCATGTCGGTGGTCAGTCGGTTGCGATTGATTGTCGTCCAAAGAAACTCGAGGTAGTCTGGATGTGGTCAGCGTCTGACAGTTTGTCAGCAACGACCGTTATTGTGTCGATCGGTCACGGATGGATGACAACGATACGCGATGAATGACAGTGGGTTGTACTCCACAGATGAGATCCGATGCGAACCACTTCGCTGACCACGAGTCAGGGACGTGTCTCCTATACGACAGACACAACTACTCATCACCACACTGTCGAAAGCTTGTTCCACCGAAAACACACAACTATACATTCTCACTCCACAACATTGCCAACTCACACACATTCACACACAAACACGTATGCAGAATCGAGTGCAACTTTACTTGCACATGTGGTGTGTGATGTGCAGGTGTGTATGTGTGTGTGTTCACACTGGAAGACCAGTATACATGAGGGCATACTGGTTGATTCGTTGGACTGCTAACAGGCGACTCACCAGTCCGGTCAGACGGATAATCAATCAGTCAGTCAACCAGCCATTCACGTCACTCAACAAATACAGACTCATCTCTATGTGGTGACCCACGTGCTGATAGCTGAGTACGTTGTGCATTAAACGATCGACTGTCGAGTTCACGAGCATTCACAGATGGCTAGACGCTTCCATTTCGGATGACAATCGATGTGTTCGAGATAGTGAGATGTGGTACAATACAGTGTGATGAGTCGATTGCAACTGTCACCAACCTGTGGTTGTTCATCGACCTCTCGATTCAATCTCTCAACAATCCACATGTGAATAGATGCGATCATTCTGGCTGATACAGGCCCCACGGTAGGCCACTTCCACAATCACTCGTCGCTCACCATTGGCCACATCCAGTAGTTGATTGAACGGTAGCGGTTTAACTCATCTCATTGTGATTACGCAAGCGTAATTGATAGACAGGTAGAAGGGTGGATAGACAGATCGATAGAAAGATAGATAGATAGATCGCGCGCGAGAGAGAGTGGGAGGGAGAGATAGGTATTTAGGTAGGTAGATCGCTATACAGGTAGATGGATAGATGGATGAACGGACAGTTTGATTGACTAAGTGATTGGATTGTTGTTTGATTGTCAGTTTGTTTGTTCGACGGGTGAATTGATTGAGTGATGTTTAGTGCATTTATTTGTCAGTGAGTAAGTGTTGATATGTGGATGACGAGAAATCGTGTTTGAATGTTATGGGTATGTTTGTTGTGGGATCGATGTGTTGATGAATGAGTGTGAGAGTCGAGAATGTAGTGTGTTGGTGTAGTGTGTAATGTGTTATTGTTTTGCGGTGGTGTGGTAGTGTTGTTTGAGGAGAAGGCGGCGCGCCCCTATAGCTCAGTGGCAGAGCACTGGTCTCGTAAACCAGGGGTCGGGAGTCCGATCCTCCCTGGGGGCAATAGGTTTTCGCCAACATCACAACCAACAACCACATCACCAATAATAAACACTCAACACACCACCGGTCAACAACACCCGATACACAAGTGCCGGTCGGATCGACGGTCAGAGCGCTCCATCATCGCACACTCGCCATCGAGTCACATTTTCCGACCACATATGTACTGCGTGTATTGGGACAGACCAGCGGTTAGCCGCTTCAACAATCAACCTAGTGCTACCCGATTAACTCTCTATCACCCATGTTCAGTCTTGTCGATGGAAGTGGAGTGACACGCTATACAGTTGAAGCACTCACTGTCTCCGACTCCAATTCCGACTGCGACTGTGACCAGTGTCAAACACACACCCACACAATCACATTCACATCATTTGATGCGCGACTTTGCCTTTGCTAACCCCCAACTTTCTTTTTGTATTAGTGTGTGCTTTTCATTTTCTTCTCTGATCAACTGTGACGTCCTATTGTTTTTAAACATCATGTTGTTACATGACGATTTTTAATCTTTTCATGTTGTTTTACATCTTTTTCGACTGAGGTTTTCGAGCTACATTTTGCTTATGCCTTATCACGGAATAGCACGCGGCCGAATTCTAACTGGTTTTTGAGATGTTTGGAAGATTGTTTGTGGCGGCCAAACCGAAACGTGGCATCAGTGATTAACGTCACTAACTCCCATTCTTTGTTATGTTGATAAATGCAGGCTACTCGTTTGGGGTCCGCGTGACCATCGTAATTAATGGTTGAACACTCTGAATCACATCGCTCAGAATCGATCAAATCACTTCAGTGTATACACTCCTTGATTTCCCTTAAACGTTGAGATTAAAATCGTTTCATCTCTTTCTTCCTGTATCATATCCTTATATGCAATCTTTCTTTTATATATTACCACCTCTAAATTAATCAGTTCTATGAATTTGGTGTTCATCTTGCTGTGCTAATAAGGTATGGCAACTTGGATCGTTGCATATATATGTCTGGTTCTTTGTTGTAAGTGATTGACAGTTGAAGTGTATTTTTTTCTTTACTCATTCATTATTTCTGAATATTGATTTCGTAAGATCGTTCCTTTTTTCAGATCACAAAATGATCAAGATCATTTCTTGATTATTTGATTCGTTTGGCTTGATCTTGTATAAATGTTATTTCCTATTTTATGATGTGATTTGGTCTATTTTGCTGGTATATACAACCAGTATGTTTGAAATAAATGATTCACATCATGGAAACTGGTATTGATGTTCTGAACTTAACTAGTAGTGTTAGGTGGATAAAGGATCAATATTAACTCTAGACTACTCATACCAATCGAACTAAGATCGTATTTGAATTAGCGAATAAATCACGTGTTAATGAGCTGGGCTAAAATTCACAACACATTATTTTAATGAATGAATTCATTATAAATGATAATCATTTAAGGAATCATGTTTATGAAGATCTCGATCTTTTGAAGTATTTCAATACATATGATTCAATGTATTCGTAATGAAATGATTTGGTTGAGTTAATCTTGAATAAATAAAAGGAGAATAGAAAAACATCCTTGTTGATCCTCATTTCAACAAGTCAGTTTTATTCCTATAATGATACAATGGAGATCGTTTTACTTATCGATTTTAATCGGTTTAAGTAGTTCATCAATAGTGTCTTTCATTTATTTATTTATTCTAACACATAGATATTGGTACAAGGAGGCACCAAATACATATGCGCTACACAAATATAATTTGGTATGTGTGAGGGCTGTGTTACTGCACGGGTGCCCAAACCGAACCAGGTGGTTTTCTTAGTGAGGGCCACACCCCGAGCCTTCGACCTGAAGATCTGATCCACAAGGCAGTGAACCAACATCAGGAGATGTATTCCCATGGTAGTCGGTGACCAAAAATTGGTTCATACGCCATTTGTTCCTTCAGGATACTGGAGTCAGCCCATGTGCACCATTGGTTTGGGATCCGGTTAAAGCCGGTTCCGGACATTCGCTTTTCGTCCTCTCATTTTCGTATACAACACCCCGCCACGAGAAGGTAGTGAGTAGGACTTCCTTGGCAGGGGCTATATACGCGTGGCCATGTGAGAGCATTTGGAGAAGGAGAGCGGACTCTCTCAACCCTCGGCCGTACCAGTGCATTTGGGGGCAATAGTGTCTTTAATATTAACTTATTTGTAAAATTACAGTATAGGATAAACCTTAAACTATCATGAGGGATATTTGGTTAGTATTTAACCAATCAGAAAACAACTTCCATAAATGGATAGTTACGTAAAGAAAAACAAAGTAAATTATTTGAGAGATTCAGAATACTCCTCGAAAAAAGCCGAAAAAGGCTCTGAAAACATTGAGAAACATCTTATCCAATCAGCATTCAGTAGAAGTTTTGCCAGAAACATCTAGAAAGTGAAAAGTCACATGTCGAGCTTCTAATTGGATGATTAACTATGCTGCTACTATGTTTAGTAGCGTTCCAGATTTTTCCGGAACCCCAAGGTAATCTAAAATACTGTAAAAACCCTAGATTATCTGTAGATAAACGAACCCTAGAGTAAAGCGTTTTCTTCCGTAATCCGAACTTTTTCTCTCATGTTCAAGACGCTGGGTAAATGTAGCCTGGCGGTTAATAGAAGAGCTTAGGAATAGAACCTAGCGCAAAAGCCTAAAAGTTTTGTTTTCAATTCGGTTTGTTTCAACAATAAAATATATTATCCGTACAGAATTGTAGAGATTATTGAATTTTGATAGAGATTATAGATTGATCAATATTAGACCACCATTAAAAATCTGGAACCACTGAACTTCCGTTTCATCATCGTATGAGGCTATTATGAAACTCCTCAGTAGTGCTCATCCCTAACCTCACATGTACCTTCGCTTCCGCACTCTAACCCTTATCATCTATACCATTGAGCAGACATCCAACGGTGTTTATGTCTAACTTCCACTAATCCATGATATCATGCAATCATCTCTCATTGTCTTGGTTGAGTAACTCCCTCACATCTGACACTCGAACTCACTCTCACTAGAACTCAAAGAATTACCTCTCAACGTCAGTTACCAGTGAGTACCTGATAATTATCAGTACAGTGTTGTGGATATTGCTGAATTTTGATTGAGAATATGAATCAATCAATGTTAAGCTACCATTATCATTTATTCTTTGTGGTTTCTATCCATTTCGATGTTTGCATCAATAATAACAATACTACTAATAATAATAATCATAATAGTAATATAAATAGATTCTTATTCAATTTCATCCAAATATTATTTATTTAATTCTGTTCAAGTTCATGTATAATAAATGGATCAGTCATTCACAACATTTAAAACAATATCATTTTCTTGGTAACATATCATTATCTTGTGTTTTTCAGTAATCTCCATCATGGACCTATGTAAAAATATCCAAAAAAAAACACACACACAAACAATGTCAGCTATTGTATATGATAGTGTGATCAAAACTTCTTTATTTCCTAACTATATCAATATTATAAGTAAAAATGGATAGGGGCTAGTAGTGAAATCCACGATGCGCGTTTCATTCTATTTAAGATTCATCAGATGGATATACCTGCATCTTACAGTTGATATTCACTCATGGAATTGAACCTGTTAGGAAATGACCAATTGGATAAATCAATGTAATTTAAAACGAACGATACTCGTTTCAAGTCCCGGAGTGAATTTCAACTCTGAGATGAAGGTACATCCAGCTGACGAGTCCCAAATAGGACGAAACGCGCATCCTGAATTTCACTGCTAACCACCATCTATATTTGCTTACAATGATCGCAAATTAAGGCAACATCAAGGCCATCCTCTTAGTATATACATATGCCAATAAGAGACTGATCAATTGTAGTCCTAAACATCAATGGGATGATACAAGCAAACAGTACCGAGTGAATTTAAGTAGTGATTGCATCCAAAAGCATGAATGTTTAACTTTAACCAATTACGCGAGCTGGATCATGAATGTGCACTGTTGAAGAGCCTCATATTAGGACTAAATGGTTATTCATTGCATCCAGCTTTTCCATAGTGATCTAGCCTTAAATGACTCATAAATTCAATTATTAAATTACTATTTAATTTTCATAGAATTTATATCGTATTATAGAATCATTGCCTAATTCTTCGAATTTTGATAAAGTTTTCTTCTCTGAGCTGGATGGTTTGCTCGTGGAGCTTTCATCGTTCTTCTGAACGACATCATCATCAGCACAAAATTCAGATAGAAGTGAAATGTTTGAATTTCTCCACATGTAGTTCACAGCTTGTCCTGTACACCTCAATGTTGATTGGTTCATATAGACCATAAATTTGTCATTGTTTACTGCTTTGTTTTGGTTGTGTTTCTCATTGGTTTGATTCTTGTTCCTATATTTGTCCATAATTTTCCTGATTGGTTGATAAATCGGATGGATTTCAATATGTTTATTGATTGCTGATTGATCTGAGTGCTAAGCTTCTAAAAGTTCTCTGATGTTTTTGAAATTGCCTCTGTTCGAAATCTCCACAGTTGTCCACGTGTATTGATATAAATAAAGACATGTTATGGCGTTTCACTGTTAATTGATATTCATGCAGGTAAAGATGAAAAGGCCATCCACTTTGTCCATTGTAGTGTTTTTCACAGTTACCACAGTTTAGTTTGTCTTCTTTTGTTATTTCATCCTTTAGTTTACATAAAATTGATTGTATTGATTTTATTGATTTATGTGCAATACCAAATTCCAACGGTTTTCAACAGTCTCATTGTCGTTTCTGTTATACCTTTTATGTATAAGGTGGTGTAGAGTACTTATATCCACATAAGTAGTATATATTGATCGTCAGAAATAGAATGTTGTTATACCCCGATAAGAATCGATTGATGAACTTATCGATTAAATGTTTAAAAGTTCCATGGCAATATCGATTATGTATATTTGTATATATATATATACGTTTTTAAATTGTGTTTGTTGTGCTCGCTCGTTTCTGGCTATTACAGAATACACTTTCTATTCTAACCTTGGATTTCTCCCTCTAGATAGTGGGACTGAAACTCATCAATAGCTAGCTTACTGGTCTTTGGTCACCGAGTCTTGTTTCTCGTTCGCAGATTAAGTAAACTCCTTATAGCGTCAAACCTAGCAAATGTATTTCAGTAGAAAATCGAGAAGCAAGGAACGAGAATGGAAAGCAATTAGTATGAAAATGAAGGAACAATGAAATCTGAGATGATTGATGAACTACTGATATCCACATAAGTAGTATATATCTATAGTCAGAAATAGAATGTATTTCAGTAGAAGATTAAGAAGAAAAGAACATTCAATTATCCTCATTCGTGCGAAACTCTGAAAAATGTGGAATCCTTCACATACTTGGGAAGCATCGTCGATGAACAAGGAGGTTCAGATGCAGACGTCAAGGCGAGGATTGGCAAAGCAATGGCCGCATTCCTATAATTGAAGAATATATGGAACTCAAAACAAATGTCTGTTAACCAATATCAAAGTCACAATCTTCAATACGAACGTTAAGACAGTTGTACTGTACGAAGCTGAAACGTGGAGAACTACAAAAACCACCATCAAGAAGGTACAAGTATTTATCAATAGCTGTCTACGCAAGATACTCAACATCCATTGGCCGGATACCATCAGCAACAGCCTACTGTGAGAGAGAACAAACCAGCTTCTAACTGAAGAGGAAATTAGGAAAAGACGATGGAAATGGATAGAACATACATTGCGGAAATCATCAAACTGCATTACGAAACAAGCCCAAACTTGAAATCCTGAAGAGAAGTGGAAAAGAGGAAGGGTAAAGAACATATTACATCGGGTAATAAAAGCAGATATTAAAAGGATAAATAACAACTGGAAATATCTGGGAAGGATTTCCCAGGACAGAGTTAAATGGAAAATGCTGGTGAGTGGCCTATGCTCCTTCACGAGGAGTAACAGGCGTAAGTAAACAATTGTATCCTCATTCGTATTCTTGTTCACTACAATAGTAATCCTTTGAATAATTAGAATCATCAAAATCTAATTATTAAATTATAAATGATTCAATAAAATAAACTTACAATGAAATTAAGCAGATTTATATGTTTTCTGATCTGTTATTTCAGTTATTGATTTATTATTATTATTATTATGATTAATCGGTGGTAGAATCATTGATCCAGAATAAGGTCTTGATTGTATTGTTTCTGTGGTTACTGTTGTCGTCATCATTGTTGTTATTGCTGGCTGTGGTGGTGGTGGTGGCGGTAGTGGTGGCGGTGGCGGTGGCGGCAGCAGCGGTTGTGGTGGTGATGATGATGAAGATAATGGCGATTTTGTTTTTGTAGAATAAGCTGCTGATTGTAATTCTTTTAATAAATCATTTGTATTATTATTATTATTATTATTATAACATTGAATAGATTGATCTAATTTCATTTGTAATGTATTAATGAATAATTGTTGAGCTTTTAATATACGTTGAGTTTGTTCATAATTTAATTCAAGTATTGTAGAATTAGATTGTGATTTATTTAATTGTATTAATAATTGTTTAGTTTTATCACCATCTTTACGATTTAAACCAAGTAAAGCTTCTAAATCATTAATATGATTACGGGATAATTTAAGTTCAGTACGTAAATTATCAATTTCTTGAATTAAAGTAACATTTTCCTTAGTTACATAGATAGATCATATTATATTGGGTAGAAGAAGAAGATGATGAAAAAGAAGAAGAAGAAGTGAAAGAAAGAAAACGATAAAGAAAGAATGAGTAGTATTCATTTCTTAATTTACTTACTTGATTCCTTCCTTCCTTCCTTCCTTCCTTCCTTCCTTCCTTCCTTACTTACTTACTTACTTAAACCTGTTACTCCGAATGGAGCATAGACCACTAACTGGCATTCTCTAACGCAGTCTGTCATGAGCCTTCCTTTCTAATTCTATTCAATCTTTGTTCATTTTTCTCATATCTGTCTCCATTTCTCTGCGTAATATGTTCTTTGGTCTTCCACTTCTCCTTTGACCTTGGGGGCTTGCCTTGTGACTCAGTGTGTGCTTCCTTCCTCCCCCTCTTCCTTCCTTCCTTCCTTCCTTACTTACTTACTTACCTGCTTGCTAACTAACTTACTTAATTACTTACTTAAGCCTGTTACTCCTAAAGGAGCACAGACCGCCGACCAACATTCTCTAATCCACTCTGTCCTGAAAATCCTTTCCTAGTTTTATCCAATTTTGGTTCATTCTACTCATCTATATCTCCATTTCTCGGTATAATGTGTTCTTTGGTTTTTCTCTTCGCCTTTGATCTTGAGAATTCCAAGTAATCAGGGTTTGACTTGTAACGCAGTTCGGTACTTTCCTCAATGTGTGTTATATCCACTTCCAGCCCTTCTTCCTGATTTCTTCCTCCACTGGGATCTGATTTGTTCTCTCCCACAGTAGGTTGTTGCTAATAGTGTCCGGCCAGCGGATCTGAAGTATTTTGCGTAGACAACTGTTGATAAACACTTGTATCTTGTGGATGATGGCTTTCGTAGTTTTCCAGGTTTCGGCCCCATACAGTAGAACTGTCTTGATATTTGTATTGAAAATTCTGACTTTGGTGTTGGTTGCCAATTGTTTTGAGTTCGAGATGTTCTTCAGTTGTAAATATGCTGCTCTTGCTTTCCCGATCCGCGCCTTCACATTTGCATCAGATCCACTGTGTTCATCAATGATGCTTCCCAGATATGTAAAGCTTTTTACATCCTCCGAAACTTCTCTGTCAAGAGTGATTCTAATGGTGCATCCTGTGTTGTATCGGAGAATCTTGCTTTTCCCTTTGTGTATGTTGAGACCTACTACTGCTGAAACTGCTGCTACACTTATCGTTTTCTCCTGCATTTGTTGTTGCATTTGCGGTAGAAGAGCCAGATCATCTGCTGTCCACTATATCCCATACCTCCCTCTAGATGTTGATGTTTTTGTAATCCAGTCGATCACCAGGAGAATGAGAAAGGGTGAGAGTAAGCAACCTTACTCTAGCTGACAATCAACTACCAAGGAATGTATACAGTCTCCTGGGGGGAGGGACGATAATTCTATGGGTTTCCGTCATTAGCTGATTCAATTTGTATTAAATAAATCTTATTAATTGAGCATGAATTGATATCATTAGCTGTTGTAAATCATAAATCAACAGACTAATGTTCTATTCTGATCTAGATCATCTAAATACTACACTCATAACTTCAACTGAGGCTGAGTCGAAGATGTTCAATTTTCTCATATTAAATGTTGATTATAATACTATTCATATGCTTTAGACAACAATAAAACAACCCAAATATTCTCTATCTACTTTATTTATAATTCAAAACATAGAAATGAATGTATTTATTGGTAACAAATTAATACATAACTACTTACTTGCATAATACGAACATAATCAGATCGATGCATTTCACTGTCACGTGCCAACTTCTTTCTTAATCCAGCAACTGATCTTTCAAGATGTTCTCGTTGTCTGAAGAATTCTTTTTGAATATCAGCATCAGCTGTAGCATCTACAGTCTATTAATAATAATGAAAAATAATGTCTAATTATGCAATATATCCAATTTAATAAGTCATTTGTCAAGTCTATTTCTTAAAACGTTTTATCAGAGAACGAAGTGAAATCAATTAGGTGAATGACAAAGATAAAAGGAAAGGAAGAGAAAGTAACAAATTTATTAATGAAGGGAAAATAGTTGTTTCCAGATCTTCTTTGCCCGAATATTTTTTTAAAACCACGCCACACTACTTATTATTATTTAGTAGTTTAAATGTATAAGCAAAGATGGAGAGTGGCCAGAAGTGGAATCCAGGACGCGCGTTTCGTCCTATTTGGGACTCGTCAGATGGATGTACCTGCATCTCAGAGTTGATGTTCACTCTTGGACTTGAATTCAGTACCGTAAGCTTCAAACGTCATCGCGTTATCCAATTAGCTTGTAAATTAAGGCAATATCAAGGCGATACGCACAGTATGCACATATGCCATTAAGCGACTGATCAATTGCAGTCCTAAATATCAATGGGAAGATTCAAGTAAAACAATATCAAGTGAAGAAGTTTAAATGGTTTGCAAGATGTGGCATCATGATCATCCAGTTACCCGTTAGCATTACGCATCATTTACTTCCTAACTTAAATTATGAATAAACGTGGTTGATTGGAAATAACCTCACTTTAATTAAGTACATCTCATATTAGATCGGATACTACATAGGGACATTGTGAAAGTATGTAGAAGACTTGTAGCTAAAGTAGACGCACTTTAATGAGATTATACAATCGGACCTTAATTCGCACCGTCTAGAACTACAGTCAAAGCATCTCACTCAAACTAACTACCTTATGGAACATGGATGGACGAGAAAGTTTAGGAAGCTGGCAGTTTGTCACCGGCGTTTATCCGATATTGTGATTCTAACTGAATAACAAAGTTCAACCATATTAAGGTTGAAAAAGTAGATAAATGATGAATAATGTTGGAAATTTGAGCCGTTTGATATCGATTTAGTGTTCGAAAAATATAATGTATACTGTGAGATCTATGATTTCTATGTTTCATACTGTAAAGGAATATAGGTGATCATTAGTTTAGCGTTTTTAAATTACGCCAAGATATTCACACTTTTTGTTGTCAGCTCGTAATGAAAACTGACAGTCATTAAAACATATAATCCGTTATTTACTTACGCCTGTTACTACTAATGGAGCATAGGCCGCTGACCAGCATTCTCCAATCCATTCTGTCATGGGCCTTCCTTTCTAGTTCCATCCAATTCTTGTTCATTTTTCTCATATCTATCTCCATTTCCCAGCGTAATTTGTTCTTTGGTCTTCCTCTCCTCCTTCGACCTTGAGGATTCCAAGTGAGGGCTTGTCTTGTGACGCATTTGGGTGCTTTCCTCAATGTGTGTCCTATCCACTTCCAGCCCTTCTTCCTGATTTCTTCCTCCACTGGGATCTGGTTTGTCCTCTCCCACAGTAGGTTGTTACTGATAGTGTCTGACCAACGGATCCGAAGTATTTCTCCCATTCCATGTCGTCCCATGATGTCTTCATATCCGGTGTTGTCCATTCCAACCTTGGCATTTAGGTCTCCCATCGGAATAGTCAGGTCCTTCGTTGGGCACTTCTCGACGATTGACTGCAGCCTATCGTAGAATTGATCTTTAACGTCCTCATTGTAGTCGTTGGTAGGCGCATAGCACTGGATGACGTTAATTGAAATGCCCTCTTTCTTTGTTTTGAAGGAGGCTTTGATGATCATTGGTCCATGAGATTTCCATTTTTTAAGTGCATTTTACGCTTGTTTTGATAGCATCAATGCACATCCTTGTGTATGTGGGGCATTTTCTTCTTCATGGCCAGAGTATAACAGAAGCTCCCTTGAAGCTAGTCGTTGTTGTCCAACTTGAGTCCAATGTGTTTTACTAATGCCAAGCACCTTTAAATTGTATCTCCTCATTTCGGCAGCAGTTTGAAAGACTCTCCCGGTCTCCCACATTGTAAGAGCATTCCATGTACCTAAATAAATGTTCCGTTACCCTCAACTAAATAACTCAATTACTTTTCTCTATACCTTTGTATCCAGAAGTAACAGGATGTGATCCAGTCTTTCAAGTGATTTTAAAGTTCAACGAGAATAAGGGATTTTCGATACACTAATAATGTTCGTATCGTAAATCTGATAGATCAGTTCTTTCTGTACGGCAGGACTCACCTTGTGTATGGTATTACTAGTGAGTATGGAGAAGGACTCTAGAACTATGGATTTTCTAAACTGGTTGGCGCTTTAGTAAATTTTACCAAAAACTGACAAAAGAAGTAGAACAAATAAAAAAAACTTATAATTGCCTAGCAGTTCCATATTAGTTTGGAAGTATACAATAGTATGGATCCACAATCTCTCCAGAGATTGAACCAAAGACTCTATATATAATCTCTCAGCTAGTACAAGAATTTTATACTTCCAAGTCGAATTCTTCATGATTGCAAACTGAAATTATGCGACCATAATGATTTTCAACATAATAGGAGAGAACTGTATCACCGATCGCTTCTTTGAATTCTAAAATTCACAACCCACTTACTTGAATGTAAGTAATCTATGTGAAAGTTAATCACTAATAGGAACATGACAATTGTCTAGCTTTATAGCCTGTGAAGATTAGTTATATCTCAAATGGTTTTATGGATTTTCCAATTTTCCGCGACGAAATTCATCTCCAAATTTAATTAATCACTACAAACTATTTAACCAAACAGCAAAAGTTTAGTTAAAATTATCACAGATTGATATCAAATGAGATGCAACCGGAGACCGTTCAACATTGGACAACAATTTAATCCTAGTATGGGACACCTCAGTAGTGACTTTAAAAGTTCAGACACCTTGTATGAGAGACATCTGTCACCAATGGTTTTAGCTGATCATCATGTCATATCGTAAATCGATAAAAGTTGAAATTGTCCATTGACAATTCACTCCAGTGATTCGAATGGTGAGGTGTCCACAGTGATAACTACAGGTCCTTGGTACAATCCTTAATGGGGTCATGAATGTGATCTTCTAGGCTGTTCTATACTATGATAAAACAGTTATCCAGTGCTTAGTGATTTTCAATGATAGCTTAACTGAGATCAATCTATGACGAAGGTAACCTACAAATGACGAATTTAGTTGATTGAATTGTCGGGGATAGGATAATTGTTACCAATCGTAATGTATGGGGATTGTATGAACGACCGTATTACATACTGAATCATTGGGAAAATAATGGAAACAATGAAATCTTAAATAAAAAGACGAGTCCCTATAAGTTAACTATTTTCAGTGTAGAACACCAGATGTTCTTAAGATCCATCAAAAACGGATCAATATCCTTCTTAGATCATCTCCAAGTGTATTTACGTGTTACTATGGAAGCAATTACATAGGAAGGACTGAAAGGAAGGTACCTACAAGAACTATTTTGAAAATATTCCTCCAAAGTTGTGTATAGAAATAAGTGAATTATTCAAAAGTGCAGTAACTAGATATTTGATGGATAACGGTGACAAAATGGACAGCATTAAAAGTATTTAAAATAGTTAACAAGTAGTAAATACCAATTTTACTCATTCTTGTACAATTCATTGCTATCAAGCGCTTTCAACTTAACCTCTATAGACCGAAAGTGTGGTAAGCCCCATATTGTTATTATGGAGATTGTAGTGATTTCAATAATTGAATTCATAAGTCAAATTAAGTTAGATCACCATTGAAAATCTGAATGTCATAGACGTCCGTTTCGTCCTAGTATGGGACTATCGAAGAGTCGTACACTTAAACGAAACAAACGCTAAGTTCCCTCCAGGTTATCAGTAGTGGTCTAGCTTAGATCCACTGTGAAAATAAAGTAAATTCATCAAAGAATTAAGAAGTAGGAAAAAATGAAGCCATCTACGATAACTTAGCAATTGTATTTATGGTTAATTCTTACAACGATGGTAGTGTACAATAAAATGGAGAGATAATTATCATGTGCTTACTAGTGATTATTTATTTATTTATTTTAACACATAGGTATTGGTACAAGGAGGCACTAAATACATATGCGCCACACGAATCTCAATTGATTTGTGTAAGGGCTGTGATACTGCTCGGGTGCCCAAACCGAACCAGGTGCTTTTCTTAGGGGACCACACCCCGAGCCTTTGACCTGAGCGTCTGATCCAAAAGGCAGTGAAGCATCGTGAGGAGATGCAGTCCCATGGTAGCCAGTGACCAACGATTGGTTCATACGCCATTTGTTCCCTCAGGATACTGGAGCCCATGTGCACTATTGGTTTGGGATCTGGTTAAAGCCGGTTCCGGACATTCGCTTTTCGTCCTCTCATTTTCGTAAACAACACCCCCGCAACGTTAAGGCAGTGAGTAGGACTTCCCTAGCAGGGGCTATGTACGTGTGGCCATGTGAGAGCATTTGGAGAGGGAGAGCGGAATCTCCCCACTCTCGGCCGTACCAGGGCATTTGGGAGCTACTAGTGATTAGCTATGTGGGGGAATTCTCGGAGTCCTAGTGTGAAGCTGTGACCAGTGAAGCTAATCCATGTCAAATACAGACTGGTAACTACCTCAGAACAATGGAAGATGGTCGCGCAATTTCGTGGATCGATTGAGGCTAGACATTAACAGATTCAGTGGTCTAGTGGTTAAGCGCTTACTTACGAGACCGTCGGGTCCTGGGTTCAAATCACGCGGGTGGGATCGTGGTGCGCTCTGTTGAGGAGTCCCATAGTAGGACGAAACGGTTGTTTAGTGCTTCCAGGTTCTTAATGGTAATCTAAGATCAATGAATTCATGATCTCAATCAAAGACATAATGATCTCTACAACCCCTTATTGAAAATGGAGAAATGTTGATAATTCTGTTTTACTTCATATTACTACTACCTATAGTTACGATTCTACAATTTTAGTAAATGAGATCGCTGACAAGAAAAATTTCTTCATTGAACTGTCTTCATTCAGTTTAA